ATGTCTACTGCCCTTGTAATATAACATTACATAAGTATAAAGGAAGCAGGGAGGCGATACTAGCCAACATGACCAATGAAGTGTCGATGTCATAGAAACATTACCAGTATCTATCTATTTCGTTTTTACTTCAAAATGTCATCTAATGGGTTAGCAGTCTGTAGACAAATCATTAACCATCATACATAAATGGTCTTTGCTTTTGATATCCAAAGTAAGAGTGGTTAAGAGCAACAACGTTTTTATTCCTTACCTTCCTCGCAGCCTCGGGATGCCGCAGATTGTATCATAATGTGTGCTGCACATTGGCTTTATGTAATTGAACGTAGCTTGGCGCTTCAACGCGTTAATGGTAGTGGTTTTGGCACCACGGTCGATATACCTTTCATGCTTAGCCTGAGGCAGGCGCGGACAATCAAAACGCGTGAACAGAGCGACATCAAGTCTGCCGCAACGGTTGCTGCAGTCGACTGATAGATTTGGTTTTCTTTACGCACATGATACAATGTCGCTGTCATCAATAACGTAATCGAAAAATGCCAGCTACAATCCGTTTAGGGAAAACTAATACGATACAGAGAGCTAAAGTACAAAGAAGTTCAATATAATTTAGTTATATGTAGGAGTTACCGGTTTATACCAAACGTTATGCTGGTCAGAGCAGCAACTCATAAATTGGCCTTATATTAAATTCTGTCATTTTCGCCGAATTAAATTAACATTTTCCGAATACCATTTGAAAAATAAAGTGCCATTAGATGAAATAGTTGAAAATTAAATCTTTTTGGGCGCCTAAAACTTCTCAGGCCCAATGCTTCGCTGGAGGCTTGTGACTGCTCGTGGTGTAGTTGGGACCAGTTCGAACACAAATAGGAATTGTATAAAACGTTTACGTTGACCAAACGTACTTTAACCAGGGATCTCATGGTCGTGAACGTGGCACTTCACTCATTCACACCCACACATGCAGCAGTGCTTACTTAAGTAAGCTTATTAATGTACATGTAAATTGCCTGTGTAAGCCCCTAGAGTACACCTCCGGTGAAAATGTGCGTTGCGTTGCAGATAGATATATATTGTGCCACCGTATCTCGAAATCGGTTCTGACGTAAGTTCGTTATTGTTGAACTGAAAACCATTTAAAAATAATCGTCGCCATCGGTATTGGTACCCTGGTTTTCACATTAGCAGACGACGTCTTCTAGACCCGACTAATTCAGTAGTCAGCGGTTACTGCTCTTTCAAAAGTCATCGAACGCCGGTAGCCCCAGAAAAGTTAGATACATTGTGATCCGAATTATGGTAAATCGAAAACAAAATCAATGCAGTAGTAGATGGTGACGGTAGCTGCCCAATGTTGAGACATAAATATATAAACATTGGGAAATGAAATATATGTTTCATTTGTGTGTTCAACGTCATTAGCTTCGTGTTTTTTTCTTTGAGTTTTTAAACACACACATACACGTACACAGTCAAAGAATCACTACCACTAAAAATTTCACGGATCATAGTAGGAGTAAGTTCACTTTTGCCAGGGTTATTTCACCGCATCAAATACTAGTTGTTTATACACTATTAATAATATTACGCTCGCTGGTTTCGTTTCTTTTACCCGCTTAAAACAAGCGTTCATCAATGTATTTATCAACGGTACGATTATTCTAATTAGGGTGATGGTGCCATTTGATATTATTGTGGTTAACTGCTGCAAGACACTGTGAGGTGTAGAGGGGAACACGAGCTTTTATGACCCCTTTCGCCAAGAATGTGTCTTGACCCAAACAATTCCTAATATACACGTAATGATCACGTACAGATACTACCTTCGAAAACAAAGCCATATACAGTATCTACATGTACTGTTGAACGACATTACAATAATAAAATTAACTTACCCCCTGTACATCAGTCTTTTTGTATGAAACTCATATTAATACACCGAAATACTGCGTGGCGAAACAGGTAGCGCCATCTATTGGACGGCTGTGGAATATTTGTCTTTTTAAGCATTTCAAAGGGGCGCAGCGATTTTCTATTCTAAAAATCTTACTACGTCTGCACCTATCTCGGTGAGGTTATCGAAGTTAATGTTAATTTATGCAGATATAATTGATCCTCTTCTTCCGTAAAAAATAATTCAAAGTTCTCGAACATAAAAAGGGTTTATACCTTATTTATATGCGCGAATTGATAATAACATGAGAGTGTCATTCACTATAATTGCATATACGTGCACCGAACGTCAAGCGGCGATTGCAAAGTTTTAGAGAATTAAGGGTGTCATATACATCGAATCGGACGCATTTTATGTCAGCGTTCTGCATTAGACGTCAAGGTGGATTTAGAAGGGTACAAAACCGCTTTTATGAAATGATGGTTTCCCATACTGCCGATAATTATCCTTTTATTTTTGATTAATTACACACTGTATAGACAAGATCATCGACCTTTCTTTATTAATCTGGTGAATCAAATCAATCAATCATAAAAGGTGCTTCGTACCCAAAAGATACTTTTAGCATTTCGAGTTAACTGATATGTAAATATGTATGGATCTCACTCATAAATACAGTAAAAATTACTCAAGTCTCTAGGGTAACATTTTTTTTATCGTAGTTTTTGCCTGTTGCGAAGTTTGATACGGAATGGAACGTAATAACATATAATCTTTGCTGCATAAATTTACTCTAACTTGTCAAGAACCTGGTCAAGAAAACATTTATTGCAGCATACGAAAATATACTATGTGCTTCATTTTTTTCAAGTAAAAAAATAAACGCAATAATATTAAAAAATAAAAAGTGTATTTCGAAGAATTTCTGTACAGTTTAGTTTAATGAGCGCTTATATTACTCAAGCGTATTATTCAGCGCCTGTCATCTGAGACTAATAAATATCAATGAGTATTTTTTCTCTGATTGTTTCAGTGTTCTTATTACCTGATTCCCAGCATTGCGCGGGTTTCTATAATCTCAACGAGTCGACTTGCACTTGTGGTTCGATTATTTGAAGCAGTGTAATTTCTTCTGCTGGTCTTATCCTGTTCACAGTCCCCACCCTTCGAGTCACCTGTTACTGGGCCGCCAGAACGAATCAACACAAGTAGGACATAACATTGTCCTTTTGCCGTTTCTGATCGTCTGCTATACTCACAGTGTCACGCGATTCATACGAAGGGGTGGACCCCTTCATGCTGCCAATTCATATTTTATATGTGGTTTTGGAGCAGAGCGTTATTTTGACTGATGCTTTCAGCATGTTATTTTGTAATGATAGAACAAAGCGAGTGCAAGCGAAATAGCGGTAGCGTAAAGACAACGGTAATAACTGTATATAGAGGGTGTGGTTGAAGAAATTATTTTATTCCAAAATATAGATATATTGAGTTCCAAAAACTGTGGGAACAATGGCACGATATCGATTAGGTCAAAAATGAGGTCGGGCAGGCTAAATGACCTGAAAAAGATCTCTCTATTTAGATAGAGCTTTTCTGGAATAAGCACTATAGACCATTCACTTGACATTTTTATTAGGTAGTCTACTAGGTCTACCAAAGATCTACTACTACCAAAGAGAGAATAGCCGCATATTATCTCCACAGAGTAGTCTTGAAAGCCTAGTTTAAGGATAGTTCCAAGGTAGTTCAAGGACTACACCGGGCATCAATGTTTTCGAGTCAAAGTAAAGGTAAGATATTCTCGTTCACTCTACATGTTCCACTTTATTCATTTAGCTAGATACTTCTAATGCAGTCGTGACGTAGAAATCCATGCTTTTAGCTCAGAGCTTAAATCGAAAGCATCGATTCCCTTTACGTGCGTAGCTTAGTCGAAAGACTACACTTAACATATTTCTGGAGATTGTGCAGCACTTATACTTTGCAATTTTTTTTCCAGAATTTTCAGGCTTAGATAGTAGAAGGTACCGGGCATAAAGATCCTGTCTTATTTCTTTCGCCTTACAATCGGCGTAGGTGTTATATTCTATTGCTTAATCCGTCAGTATCCATAGTAACTTAAGCCATTTAGACGGTTTATGGGAATGAAACTGCACCTTTTTCCTTTAATCTGATATGCAAACAATGGTGAGAAGCGAGCAGTGCCGCTTAGTTGCAATATAGGTAAACTGACAGCTGACAAAAGCTCAGTTAGGCTAAATTTTTCTTTTGATGAGTAGCCGCTACAGATGGCAGCGTGCAATGCCACTGCCGCTTCTACGAAAGGAAAACTCTGCATTTGATTATTCACTATACCACAATCTCAGCTTACCCATTCACTCAGCGCGCTTATTCGAAATCCGACCCGATCGAAGCAATCCCGGGAACCTCTGCTTTTGTTTTCTAAAATGTATTTACCTTCTAGCGCATTAGACACCTATGATTGAGTTGTATCACCTCCTTCTGGCAGCAGTACCAATGGCCGGCAGACGCTGATAGGCCAATGGCAGTTGTAACTTAGTAGGTCCAACGTTACTTGGAAGGAAGTTAGATCAACTTCCTGCTACCTAAGACCAATGATAAATTTGATCGACCGTTCTTATGACGTTAATAATGCGATGCACTTGGTCATCTTGGGCCATTCTTGCTGCACCACCCTTAGTTTTGTATGAACTTCTATATTCACTATGTGAAAATGAATTAGCAGACATGTAAGACCGTACCAAGCATGGACAAATTGTGCCATTATTTATAGTTATGAGATGACATAGCAAGTTTCGTCAACTAAGTAGTGGTATTAGTATGATTGCCAGTATCTTGAGATGATCGGGGCGACCTCGCTGCATAGTTGGGAACAACCTCAGGTAGTCATGAGCGAGACAGAAGGATAAATTTAGCCAGTCAAAAGAGACATGTTTATATCATCTGCTGAACTAGTGCCTATAGGATAATGAACGTGTGACACAGGTGGTGTTCAAAAACTCCAGCGAAAACGAAAAGCCGGCCGACCCGACTAGCTAAGAGGTCAGGTAACAAATGCGTGTCGACTCTTCAAGAGAAACGGTAATGTTGTTGCTGCTAGCTTTTTCGGTAGACTACCGTTGACTAATCCACCTAGCGTGACATATCTCTACAGATGTCACACGACCTAAAAATCGCTCTGATATACCCCTAACGATTCTATATGAAATATTCTTGCTAACTGTTGCAAGCGTCATCGTTTTGTTCGTACCTTGAAATCAATGGACTAATTGACGGTCGTGCTGTATGCTACTGTTGTATGCTTAATCGTAAACGAGACACAGGATACAACCTGTCGTGTAATTTTTGTGCATTTGACGATTTATTGATAGAGTGCAGAGTTGGATTGGTCGTCTTAGCGACTAGTTCGCAATGGCTAAATCTTATGGGATTGCTTTAATTCTTTGGGCCACGCTTGGCATACTCGGAGCCCACCACTTTTACCTACGTAGAGATCGACATGGAGTGGTTCATCTACTCACATTTGGTGGTTTTCTTCTTGGCTGGCTATACGACTTACGAAATCTGGACAACTATGTTCGTTGGGCAAACTTTGATCGTGAATTTAAAGAGAAATACCTTGAAAAGATCGAGATGAACAAGGAGCCGGAGGATCCACTGTTGAAGAATCTTTCCGGTACGGCTCTGTGCCAAACAGCGTCAGCTCTACTGATAATGGCTGTTCCGCCAAATCTCGCTTCAAATGAAACCTTTTCGTATTACGTGATGCCAATTCTTACGGCAATGTTAGTTGCGTTTATCGTCTATTATCTTGGTAACATCGGCGAGACGCAAGGCACATACAAAAGCGCCCTCAAAGGAGCCCTGATCTCAGTACCATACTACTATTATAGTCCCACAGGCAGCGTTATTTGGTGTGTTTTTGCATCGAAGAATACATTTGAGAAAAAATACCGTCCGAGACCTGAGGATAACGGAAATTTTTGGAGACGTCTCTATCGATCTCTTCTGGTGACTGGTCTCATTGGCGGTCTCTGTGTTTGCTACTTTATTTACAATTGCGAAGTAGGAACGGATGACGGCGAATCAGTCAGCTGTGTCGACTCTCTGCGTTTCCTCAATGCGTCGATGTGGAGTAACTTCAAGGAAACCATGATAGATCTCTACAACTATATGAAGTACAACGGTTTAGGCAGCTTATGGAACGACATCGTGAAAGCGGTCGATATGACTGGGACAGACAATGCTATTAAACTCCTTGGACTAACAAAACCCGCGTCCGAAAGCGACATTAAGGCGAGTTACAAGAAGTTGGCCAGACAGTACCATCCGGATAAGGTCAAAGACCCTACAAAGCGATCAGTTGCTCAGGAGAAGTTCATGGAAATACAAAACGCTTATGAGCTGCTATCCAAAACGAAGGCTAAGAGAGGAAAGCACAACGGAAAATCTCGGATGGATGATAAAATTGAGCTTTAAATATAAAAAAGTACACAACGCAGGTATATACATAGAACGATTTGTTGTCAATGTACAACAGCCATACAATAACTAAACACCCCTGCACGCAACGCCGTAGAGCAACGTTATAAGGTACTAACGTAAGCGGAGAGAAAACGCCAGGTGCTCAGTGATTTTATTAACGCCTGTGTGGTAAGAGCAGGCTGTGGTAATAAGCAGTATGATGCAAATTCTATTTTCAGGAGTACTCTAGACTCGTATAGCTTTTAATATGTTTTCTATAAGTTTAAAGAAGTGTTCTCTACAAATACGGATACACATATTGTGCATTTCTTTATATTTCATAGGTTCACTACAGTTAGTCAATCATATAACTATTAAACATGCTGCGAGGTCTTCAGACGACTGGAGTCAACAAACTCCTGGCCTATAATAAGAAGATAATGCCTTTGTATTTACTAAACGTGTTCGTGTAACGACTCCTTGGAGCTGGAGCTTCTCAGTAGCCAGCCTGCCACGAGCTAGGTTACTGTCTGCGTGTGAATAACAGTAATCAATGCAATGAGCCTTCCAAAGGGGAAAACAGTTTACGCAGAGGATAAGATCATGAAAACGTCACGACGTCACTAAATGGGGCCAGGGCAATTCAGAAAATGACCCAAATGACCCAAAAAATGTGTGCTTGTTTCCAGTGGTGACGTTACTTTATCTGAATAGTATACTGAGTTCGATGAGAACTCAGTTCTGGCAATGACTATGTTTTCACGAAATCCGAAAAATGCGCAAGAGAGATTGTTCTCAATAATAATAAATCTGTAATAAGCAGATATTTTCCTAAAACTTAAATTTTAACTTATTTTTCTAGAGCGGATTTGATGAGGCTTTTTAGTGATTACAATAAAAGCCGTGATCAACCAATAATTAATTTGTTTCAATAATTTGGCTACAGTTGTCGCAAATTTTTTTTTCTAAAGTCTGTTACTATTAAGATTATAGCACTATGCTTCATTTACTAGGGAGTGATATAGTTATCCGTCAATGCTTCAAAATTTATTTCCATGGAATTAACAAAGCATTTCTTTAACCCTAAAGTTAATCTTCCAGCTTTGGCTATACTGAGATTGGTCAACCTTTACGGAAAACGAACACCTTTTAGTCTAACATATATCCGACATCTGCTGCCCACACGGATTGATCTGGCAAATGACAGGATTACAGTAAACTCAGCATTTTTCGTTGTTATACGTGAAATTCGTATACAGTGATAACAGCTGAAGCCAAACATCCTCACAGTTTATAAACTATCGATGACGTTATCATGCTGCCAGAAATACAGAGTTCTAGTGACACATACTTGCGTGACATAAAGATGAACGTTCGCGAAAATGGCTTGAAGTATTTTCGTGGCCATTACCCAATTACTTTAATGATAGGGATCTCGATTTGACGTCTAGGTAACGAAAATTTCCTCTGCGGACACCCAGATGACGAAGCGGAATATCTCCGTCCGTCTGGTTAGTTTATAGTATGCATAGTGTAACTTCCATGTGGCTTTATGATATTAAAAATATTTAATTCTTATACGGAACAAACAAGAATTGCCATATAAAATCGTATAATTCCTCCATATCAAGAGAGAAATATAGAACTGAAGAAGGTTGAATATGCAAGATCATCATTTAACCTTGAGTTGAGTACTTTACACCCATATAAAATAGCAGTCCGCGAAAACAACAAAAAAAAAAAAAAAAAAATAGGTTTGGCAATTAAATAGATACTAAATTTCTTACGTTAATGTGCAACCACATTCGAAAAACTGTATATTAGATAGATTCTATCTTCTACCTCTAGAAAACTATTTATACAGGGTAGGTCATCAGTTTTTTTTTTTTTTTATTAAACAAGCAATAAGGCTAGCGACATAATGATTACCGGTCTCGAAGCTAATAAAAACGCTCTCACTCGCTTAACATTGTTCTAGCTTGCCTAGAAAATTTCCAGTTACAATTGCCTACTTCCATCCGTATATGCCTACCCCTTTTAATTTATGCCCATAATCGACCGAATACTATCTCCGTCATTATCACTACAGTTCACCAAGGCTTCAGAGCAGCGTCATTTAGGTGTCTCTCGATTCTCCATTCGGCTCACGTTATTCCTGTTATTGCAGACGATTAGTAATTCTCACTGGAAACAACGGCGATTGGTGGCAATGAGTTTTCGCATTGCCGTGTACCGTGAATAATGTGTATTGTTAAATTATTGGACGGGCAGCTCCGATAATGGGTTCTCGTTTGGGTAGTGACGACGACGACGACGACGACGACTATCACTGTTGATTCAACTGATCAGTTTGATAAGCCTGCGTGCTGGTAAAGTATCTTACAGAACGGTGGCTGATATATCTACTACTGTGATGACTGGCCTCGTCGTGTCAACGACACGTCTTTTAGGTTTATTCATTGTTACAACACCATGCGTACAATTGTAATTATTCAATAAATCTCACGTGGATTAGAAATAACGGAAGCAGCAGGATAAAGCAAACATAAATAGGTTTAGTAAAAGGTTTCTTCCTTTAACTCGAAAGAATAGCAAAGGGATGTTATATTAATTGTTTTTTATTGTTAATTATTCTTATATAGAATAATTAAAGTATAGGAATATTGGTCACGTCAACACACAGCGGGTAATTTTTCTAGATATCCCGCGGCACTGAGATCGAGCTCAGCAACAACCACTGTCATGGCAGCTAGATCAGCCATCGTCGCATCTAACTTAACAATACATATGATACTAGACTATAACACGGATCACGCTTACCTGAGACAGCAGATAGTTTTAAAATTATCACACAAAATGGATCACACCTCTGGCGTTCAGGAGAGACATAGGGAGTCTAGGAATCTAGGAGTCTGATACCCACAATAGCCATTGAACTAATAATATCGTCAACTCGGATGGCGTACTGCATGACCGTCGTTTAGGGGAACAATGCTACAACGAGCTGTTGATACGCCAGGATGCCTTAGGTTTATACTATAAAAAGTGCCTTTCGTTGCGGCATGATTACGCGAATATTATGTCCTATACATCTTCACTTTATAAAACAATAGTAATGACGATTCCACCAGAGTTTCCACTCTGCTGTTAGAACTGTAATATTAAATATATGTTTTGCAGGCAAACGTTGTCTAACGCACATAAGAATGTGTCACTAGCTGTTTACCGATTTCAGTTCCTAGGAGCTGGATTACGATTTTAACTCTATACCTGGTGGTATTAGTGTGTGTGGTTGAAGTTCTATAAGGATTAGTTTGGCGAATAATTCCAAAGATTTTACCGTACTCATACGCGTATGTACGTGCTTGCTCTGGAAGTCAATGGGGGGATCGACTTCTAATCGTGATACAAATTCTACTCATTCTACCTTTAGCTTCAGGTACTGAACGAGTATGCCCGCGAGTACTTTACATTATGTCCTTGTGATCAAGGTATCAGTTGCAGCCGTCCTCCATGCCTGTGCCAGTGGAAAAGTGAACAGCACTCTTTGAGAGACTATATAATGAAATTCCACGCGCTGATTTATTCAGGCTAATAAAAGTGCTGCCAGATCGAGATTTTTGAGCCTGTGTAGCCATTGTGGGAAATCCTGTTTTGACAGTTTGTTGATTAATTAAAGATACGTCATCTAGCATATGTAAACTTTCCAGTTCAAAAGGGGACAACGACAACGATGAGACAACTGAAACGATTCCTTTAATTTGACTTAAATTGTTTTCCTTTGAGCGATTTTAAGTCGCCGTCTAGCTCTTAAGTAGTACAACTATTTCGGATAGTTGTACTACTTGCCCACTACTTAGCCTACTTACTACTACCTAGTCCGAAATATCTGCCAGCGTAAATTTACATACTTCTGCAATGAATGCCCTCACGGTCATATCCATGTGTATAGAAGTCACACTGGCCTTTATTAGGCAGTAGTGACAGTTGTTAGAATAATTATGCACCGGAACCAATGAAGCGCCAGAAAAATTCCCTTACATAAAACAAGCTCGGATAAGAGAAATCCACATAGGAAATGACAAACGATAACCTTTATGCTTATGATATTTAGCTCCATATATAATCTGTATCTATAGTAGTGCATCGTATAGATTGCATATTAATACTTTGTACTTGTAGTAATGTTGAAGGAAACGGTCAACAAGGAGTGTGCGATTTTGTAGTTACCACCACCACAGCCTCTATAATTAGATCAGTCTATATTACAAGGTACCTGATATATGGTAGTTCAAAGGAGCACTCATGAAGAACGGCCCCATTAAAGTATTGGGTAAAACGTAGTCTATACCTAATCGTTTGGTAAAATGTTTATTCACGACGACCAATAATAATTCGCCCACTGTAGCAACAAACGGATGCTCAAAGACACAGTAGTTGTTTTATCTAGGCCTGTATGCCCAACAGACTTCTTTTCGTGTAACTCCGTTTGAATACACAATAGCGGTATAATAATGTATCATTTGTGTCATGTGTTGCCCTTTTTCCCTACTTTCTCTACTACTTGCCGATAGATACATAAACAGATAATATATCAATAAAGGTTAGTCAGCCGTTATGGTAATACTCGTATTTGCCTTTAGGATCTCGTTCACTATAGCCTGCCAACGAACGCTGTTTTCTCCATTTACCTGCCAGTTTCACGGCGTTTTGTATTTCAAAGCCGCCTGCTGTTCTGTTGTTTCTTGAAGCTCGGTCTCACAGCACGAGGGTACCCATGCATAGGTCTCTCTTTCCTGCTCCCTGTCCGTAAAGCTAAGTCCCACTAATTACAATAATAATAACAGTACTGCTGTTGTACTTCGTTATTAGTAAGTACAACTGTGGGTCGTTAGGTGAAGCTATCTGTTTTCCATTGTGCTTTTGTCTGTTCATCCGTAACATAAATCCTTCAAATCGAGAAGTTATTAAATGTCAGCGGCAAGGCAATGCAGCGATCAGCAGTAGCAGTTCTCTTTCTGGCATAGTTATCTAACGGCTAATGTTACTGTTATTATCACAAAAATTTAATCAACTTCAGTAGCTACCTTGCTATAGCGATTACAGACAACGAATGAAGAGTGAATGCGATCAGATAGCGAAAAAACGCAAACGAACCTGGAAAAGACCTATCCTATGCACACACACACACACACACGCATGGATACACGGCCACTCATACAATAAACTGCACATCGCTAACAACCGTGCGAGAACGATGCGAGTCAATGCTGTTAATATTGGTCAACAACAGATACAAAGAATAAAGATTTTTGGATCAAACGGTATCGTTACCCAGACTTTTGGCGAGTTCTAGCGAGCCATAGAAAATGAAAGAATTCATAAAGATGAGTTTCATCTTGAAACTACAGTGGTGGAAACAGTTCGCCGTATACGAAGTATACGGGCTATATATATATATATATATATATATATATATATATATATATAAGGGTTTACTACTAGAGATATGGTGAGCTGTAACTGAACCAGAAGCATTGCTTTGTGCAGACGCATAGCTCCTAAAGCGCATTATGTTTGCTTAAATGATCTAATGGAAGATACGATAAAAAATCCTGCATTTAGCAGTTAAGTTTAATATGCATAGGTAACTTTTTTTCCATTGCACAGCAACAACAACAACAACAACACTTAACTTCACGCCGCAAAAAAGGCAAACGTTACAGCTGGAGGCTTTCGGTAAGCCCCGATATAAAGCAAACATTTCTTCGACAGATTACAATTTTCTTTACCAATTTCTCAGAATCTTAAAAGATGTATTAAAACCGGCC